TTATGTGTACCTCTGCACAGGCGAGCTCGGACGAAATGGCATGTCGTTTGACGTCTCGCGATTTGTTCAGTCTCAGGCTCAGGAATCTCGAAGGTTCCCTCGATTGAGACTAAGTATTTTGCAGCACTTTTCGTAAGTAACGTACTTGTTAATAAGATTCTGATGATAAAGTAGAAAGTTTGCATCTATTACGTGTTATCCATAGTTCTTAAGTGGACAGAAATGGAGATATCAATATCTTACTTTTTTGTCTTTATCATTCAAATTATCTTCAAACAAATATGTTAAGATAAACCTCATTTCAGCTCAGAATTGTTCCCATTCGACTGTATTCCCCTGTAAAATGGAATACCAGTTTGATGTATTTCCGAAGAAATGCCATAATAGTTTTGTAATTCCACGATTGAGTAAAACTTAATCCTTTTGTTTAAAATGTTAGAAATTTTTTCCAGTGTGAAACATCCATAATGTTGAATCGGTTCTGTACGGTAGAATTCCATGAATCGATTGCTTTCTTATGTTAACGTAACACATAAAAATTGAAGTAGCTTTGTGATGGGATGGACACCAAAAAGGGTCGAAGCGTTTTCGAAATCTGCCATTAGCTTCACCGAATTTTCAAAAGTTTTTCTGAAGCAACAATTTAGCCTAGGACAACAAAACAGCTACATCTACTGATTAAAAGACGCATATGCTGTAGAGCATACGGAAATCAAACCTGAGCTCATGCATTACTGTTTTAGCTCATAGTTGAACTTTAGCACAGATTCTAAATTCTGAACGTTATTTTTAGCCATTAAATCATTCATAACTCTTTTAAGCGAAGCCATCCGCAGATAACGAAGGCAGATTTGGAAACAGCGCCTTTTGTCCCAGCCACTCGTGCTCATCCCATGCCAAAAGCCACTATCGTTCTAATAGTTAAAAGATGACTAGATCTACTGCAAACTGTAGGTTCGGTACAAAGAATCTTGTTTATTTGACAGTTTCAGGCACATTATCAAAAATGAAGGGTTCGGAGCTTTGTACAAAGGTTTACTTCCAAATCTTGTTGGTGTTGCTCCTTCGAAGTAAGTTGTGAAGATTTTTTTGACTCTTTGATATTCGTTGATTTTTCGCCTGTTCAGAGCTGTTTATTTTTATTCCTATTCGAGCAGCAAGCGTTTATGGAATGAATCTGACATATTCGTGCCCAACAGTGCAATTGTACACATGGTGAGCGCAGGTTCAGCAGGTAATCGCCTTTCATGATTAATCCATTGTAGGAGAATCTTTGCTTCAACCTGTAAATTGTTTTCTTTTTCGAATTAGTACACTTTCACATGGCGGATGCCTCTTGAAAGTTATTCCCCATTTTATTAAGTGATCGAGTTGCCAACAAACGTGCGCGGTCCACGAGC